TTCTTATGATAAGATTTGTTCGAATCCTCATATTTTTCTACAAAGGATTCAGGGAGACATTTGTGAACCGATTCACCTTCTCTGCGGACCATTTAGATATTGTATTGGTTTGGTTGATGCTTCCACACCTTGGTCATACGTGTGCTTGTTGTCCACAAGGAACGCTACATTCTCCAAACTGTTGGCTCAGGTTATCAAGCTCAGGGCTCACCACCTTGATTATCCGATCAAATCTATTCAATTGGATAATGCTGGAGAATTCACATCTAAAACTTTTGATGACTATTGCATGTCGGTTAAGGTTGAATTTGAACATGCATAATGGTTTGGCAGAGGCATTCATTAAGTGCTTACAAATAATTGCTCCATCGTTGGTCATACGTACCAAGTTCCTGATCGCTGCTTGGGGTCATGCAATATTGCACGCAACCATGTTGGTCTGCTTGAGGGATGTTGCGACCCAACCATACAATGCATTCAGTTGGTTACCAGATACGAACCCGACATATCGTATCTGTACGTTTTTTGTTGTGCTGTCTATGTGCCGATTTTACCATCCTTACGTACAAAAATGGGGCCTTAGCGAAGGATGAGAATCTGTGTCGAATAGGATTCTCGTTTAGTCATTCGTTACTTAGTAACAGGTGATCTATTTACCGCTCGTTTCGCGAATTGTCACTTATATGAGACAGTTTTCCTGTCGTTAAGGGGAAATAAGAACGTTAACGTCCTTGATGAACGTAAATTATCGTGGACGACTCCCACTTGTCTCATTCGCACCCCCAAAAGAGGAAACCCACGACACAGGCCCCTAAAAAGCCTACCATGAATCCGATTGTCGCCTACTCATTCTATCCAACTATTAGGAAATTCTAGATTACAGAAGCATCCTTGAAAAGACAATGTATGATGTATGGTGTATTGACATTGGATGATGTTTGGTGTAGAAATGAGATGATCGTCGACAATGCATTAACATATGCAGTAGCTACTGAGATCATGTTGAGCAATGACATTGAACCCTATTTCATTGATGAATGTCGACGTAGAACTGATTGGTGAAAATGGAAACAAGCAATCTAAGTCGAACTCAATTTGCTTACGAAACGTAAGGTGTTTGGACTTGTAGCTCCTACTCTTCCACATATAAAGCCCGTTGTCTACAAGTAGGTTTTCGTTCAAAAGCGTAATGAGAAGAACAAAATTATGTGTTACAAAGCTCGTCATGTTGGGCAAGGCTTCTCACAACGCCCCGGGATTAACTATGATGAAACTTATTCACCCGTTATGTGATTATTTTTCGCTATCTTATCAGTTTGGTAGTTTTCGAAAAATTGGGTATGCAGGTGATGGACATAGTAACTGCGTATCTCTATGGGGATCTTGATACGAAAATATTTATGAAAGTTCCCGAAGGCTTTACATTGACTGGATCAAATATTTCCAAACCCTGGAACACGCTCTCAATTCGGCTGAGGTGTTCACTTTACGGTTTAAAGCAATCTAGAATAATGTGGTATAACCGTCTGAGTGAGTATTTGACTAGTCAGGGATATGTGAACAATGAACAATGCCCTTGTGTGTTCATTAAGAAATCACATTCCGGTTTTGCGATTGTTGCAGATTATGTCTACGACATGAATCTCATCGGAACTCCTGAAAAGCTCAAGAGAACTTCCGCGCACCTGAAGTCGGAATTTGAGATGAAAGATTTAGGAAAGACTCGATATTGTCTCTGTATTGAGATAGAGCACATGTCGGATGGAATCTTAGTACATCAATCAAACTACACCCAGAAGGTGTTGTGCCGTTTTAACGAGGATAAAGTGAAGCCTTTAAGTACTCCTATAGTCGTTCGATCGCTAGATGCAAAACAAGATCCCTTCCATCCGAATGAGGATGATGAATAGATTTTGGAGCCTGAAGTTCCTTATGGCAATGCACTAAACCTGACATCTCCTTCGCTGTTAATCTTTTGCCAAGATACAGTAATGCAACAAGATGCAGACATTGGACTAGTGTTAAAGATAATTTCCTCTACATTAAGGGTACTATGGATCTGGGCTTGTTCTATCCTTATTAATCCTTGAGTGATGAGGAACCTGTTATCTAGAGTCGATTATCGCCTTGTTGGTTATGCCGACGCATGATACTTATTTGATCTGTACAAGGTGCATTCTCAAACGAGTTATGTCTTTACCATTGGAGGCACTACAATCTTTTGAAGGTCAACGTTGCCATTTTGTCTAACCATGTTGAAATTCTCGCCCTACACAAAGCAACTCGGGAATGATTCTGGCTAAGAGTAGTTGTGGGCCATATTCGAAGCTCCTGCGATCTTTACCCCGTCTTTAACGTCCCGACGATGATCTATAAAGACAACGCAACATGCATCAAACAGCTCAAGAAAGGTTACATCAAAGGAGACAACACCAAGGAGGAGTGTTATAAACTTCTTATTTAAGTGTGATTATGTAAATCCTAGATTAGATTTGATTTTAGTTATTCTACCCTATTAGGACTTGCATTGCTTGGAAGAGAATGATTTCTTCCCTCCCTTATTACTATAAATAAAGACACTGTGTAGGGGGAATGACACATTCTCTACACAACCCTACAAACACATTTCTCTCTCTATATTTTCTCAGTGTCATCTGCCCTCCTCTCCTTGTCAGTTAAATATAGACCACAACAAGGTTTTTGATAAATTTAAAATTCTCTAATAATCTCACAAACTTCAAATACAACGGAGCAATAATAAGAAATAAATCAAAATAGTCATTTATCCACGAGACAATAAAAACTTAGACAAATCAAATCAAATCATATCAAATAGACCAATTCAATTCATATCTCTAAAATATTTTCTTTTATATTTTAAAACAGTTTGGAGCTCTCTCTCTCTCTCTCTCTCTCTATTAATTTCAAGCATTAATAGTTATTACAATTGTTTGATTTGTCACTTGTTATTCTTTCTGATATTTTATTTCTCTTCTTTTTTTATCTGTGGCAGATCTCTAATTCTTTGTAATTTGATTTTTCAAATTGTTTAAGCTTGTATTTTAAACTTTTGCGATTTGAATGTTGATGGTATTTTTTCAAAGGGAAAATCTTTGTTTGAATCGTTTGATTATACTTTGATTTATTCAATTTAAAAGGTTAGTTACAATGTGATACAATTTGTAGGGTACATGAAATCCGACTGGGTCGGGTCTTAATTTTTCATTGTTTCAATTACTGAAATACCTCACGTTCCAATGTTCTTGTCAAATGTCATTACTTATTTGTGTTTAAATTCCAAAAACTATAAACTTCAATTTTAGCATCAGTCATCATTGAAAAAAAGTTCAATGAGTATGTTACCAAATGAAATCGATTTATGCGTCTAAATAGTATTATTGAAATAGAAAACCGAATATGAAAATCAATCAACTGAGTGGGAACGGCGGAGTCGATAAGCCTATCCACCCATTGACCACAAGTCCTTGAAATATCCCGCACAAGCACTCACCATACATCTACCCGTCAAACTTCAAACTTCAAACCTCTTATTACACACATAACAAACAAAACTATCAAAACGCATCTCAAATATCATCCACCTCTCTCTCTCTCTCTCTCTCTCTCTCTCTTCACTACCAACCACCTCTCTCTCTAACTCTCTCATGGCCGCCTCATGGGAGGAAAGCGTCGAATACTCCATCAACACCATCTACCTCCTCTTCTCCGCCTACCTCGTCTTCGTCATGCAGCTCGGCTTCGCCATGCTCTGCGCCGGCTCCGTTCGAGCCAAGAACGCCATGAACATAATGCTCACCAACGTCGTCGACGCCGTGGTAGGTAGCCTCTCCTACTACCTATTCGGCTTTGCCTTTGCATTCGGAGAAGGCTCAGATGCCAACCCTTTTATTGGTACAAGTTTCTTTGCTCTCAAAGACATTCCCAACTCCACCTACGACTATGACTACAGCTTCTTCCTTTTCCAATGGGCTTTTGCTATAGCTGTTGCGGGTATAACCAGTGGGTCTGTTGCTGAGCGTACCCAGTTTAGTGCGTACCTCATTTTCTCTTGCTTCCTTTCCGGATTTGTGTACCCTGTGGTGGTTCATTGGGTGTGGTCGTCCACTGGGTGGCTTAGCCCAAACTCGAGTAACTTATTGTTCAGCTCTGGGGCCATTGACTTTGCCGGGAGTGGCGTGGTGCATTTGGTCGGCGGGCTTGCAGGGCTTTGGGGCTCTTTCATCGAAGGCCCCAGAGTGGGCCGATTCGACGCGTTCAGGAATGCCATCCCCATCAGAGGCCATAACGCGACGCTTGTGGTGCTTGGAACATTCTTATTGTGGTTTGGTTGGTTCGGGTTTAACCCTGGCTCGTTTGATAAGATTCTCGTGGCGTATCCGAACACAAGCGATCAAGGGAATTGGACTGGTGTGGGCCGAACGGCGGTTACGACTACGTTAGCTGGATCAACTGCTGGAATCGTAACCCTGTTTGGCCGGCGCTTGCTAGTGGGCCATTGGGATGCACTAGATGTTTGCAATGGAGTGCTTGGCGGGTTTGTGGCGATTACTTCAGGGTGTGCGGTGGTCGAGCCGTGGGCTGCCGTTGTTTGCGGGTTCTTCGCCGCTTGGGTCTTAATCGGGCTCAACATCTTGGCCCTAAAGCTACAATTCGATGACCCCCTAGAGGCGACACAATTGCATGGTGGGTGTGGTGCCTGGGGTTTGATATTTACAGGGCTGTTTGCGAAAGAGGAGTTTGTGGTCCAAGCCTATAATTCCGGCGCCGTCGGTACAGTACGGCCTTATGGTCTCTTCATGGGCGGCGGGTGGGGGCTGCTCGGAGCGCAAGTGGCTGAGCTTTTGGCCATTGTGGGCTGGGTCAGCTTGACAATGGGTCCTCTCTTCTACACCCTTCACAAGCTCAACATTTTGAGGATCTCTGTTGACGACGAAATTGCAGGTCTTGATGTTTCCAGTCACGGAGGCCATGCCTATGTTCATACAGAAGAACACCATCCGCGCTTTTACGCAGACTACATACGCATTCAAGACAATGGATCGTGACTCGCAATCCAGCGCCATACTACTGTCGTTCTTCTTCATCTTGTAGCATTATGTAAGGCGATTCAAATTGATGTACCTATATTGTGTTCAAGCTATGATTGAAATTTAAAAAAGGAGAAAAATGGAACGAAAGTATGACAAGAACCATAACATATAAATTACTCTTTTGAAGCCAATCAAAACTATGGGCAAAGTGCAATTACATGTTAAAATGTTAACAGGTTTCAAATTGCAGTACAACAAGGCATGTTATATACAAATAGTTCCCGAAAGAAAGCTGTACATGAAGCTCACCGGACATGAGAATCATAGGGTAGAAAAACAGGATCCGGCATAACAAGAGGTAGCTTCTCAACGTACATAAATAGTCTCTTGCGGTCCTCTCTTAAGATTGTTGATAAATCGAGAGTATCGCATTTCTCAGTGTAGATCCAAAGGTCACCAGAGTCGACTCTTTTGAGACTATCGCGACAAAAGGGGCATGACTGAGACCTACCACGCCTGAAACAAACAGGAGACATCAGGTTCTGCTCGATATTACGAATGGAAACAAAAAGCATTTAAACGAGGAAAAGGAAAGTCCAAAAAGCAAGTCATGAAGCCTATGAAATTCAAATTCCAGATTTACACATCAGTATTATGTAATTAAGCAAGGTCAATTCTAAGAGAAGTCGTTGGCCATTTTAAACTTTGACCCGAGCCGAAAGAGTAACCCAAAGACGTAATGATGGAGAAGGTACAATGATTTCGGAGAAAATGCTCCCCCAGACAGGGGGATAAAATTATTACGAACAAAAACATTAAAAATACAAATGGTCCAATGTGTTCGAGAGTATTCCAAAAACGAAAAGATGACCTAATTAAGTTTGTTAACACATATTAGGTACAATTTCAGTTCGCTCAATCTGTGGTACACAGCATAGAAAGCATCGACAAGAAATCACTCTCCCGCAACATAAACATAATTCATGGATACAACAAAAATATGTTGTATACAAATAAGTTGAAAACTATAAAGGAAGCACAAGAAAAAAAGGCCAAAACACTTACCAGTCTCGATAACACTTCAAACACAATGTATGAGTGCAGTTAGGCAAAACAACTTTCCTGTTCACCTCCATGCAAATTCCACACTCTTCTTCTCTTTCAAAGTCAATTTCAGAGAATTTTCCCCTCTCGGATTCATCCCTTCTTTTGTATCTGGCAGTGCAAATCTCTTTCTGTTTCCTATCTTCCACATCTGTGATTCCCCTTTGAAGTTGCAGCAAAGAAGGAAATATGACAGCTGTCCATGAAAATATAAGTGTTCAGAAAACATATCCATGAATATCGAAGAAGAAAAAAAATTATATCCCGTGCCCCCAAAGCATTACCACCTCCCCCCTCTCTGCCTCCCAAGAGGTTTTACTTGCAGCATCAAGCATTTGCGTACGAATAATACTACTACAATAAGCATTTACATACATCTTTACTGAATCTCACTTACCATAAAATTCTCTGATGCTGGCTTTCCTTTCATAAACAGACATGGTGGTCTTTCCATCTGGATAAGTCTGCAGAAATCGATCACATTCCCACAACCAAACAAGAAGTCAAATAAAATTATTACATTTTCTGAAGATAGTACGCCATAAACGAATTAAAGGTTGAGAAACTGGATGGTGCAATTGCAAAGCATGCCAGAAAATAAAGACCAACCAAAAACTTGAACCCAGCACCCTGAAGGCTGCTATCCCAATAGGCCAGCAGGCCCAGCAATCATACTATCGCGGTCGAAAAAACGTGTTCCCCTCAGATAATAGTACACACCAGAGGCCATCAGTTCTCATTTCATAGCCTCTTTTGTTTTAGGTGAAATAGCAGGAAATGTAAACCAGCTATTATACTACTGTTGTACATAAAAAATGTTCCTAATGCAGCAAACATCCGAGGAATCCATTTCAAATTCCTTTTACTCTCTCTCTCTTTCTCTCTCAAGAACAAAATCACGCATTGACATCATAACGAAACTTGATTTAGAAAAAAGAATGTACCATATAAATAAGCATTCAAAGCAATCCGAGTGCTCCGGCAAGGTGACACACACTCTCTCTCTCTCCCTCCCTCTCTCTCTCTCTCTCTCTCTCACACACACACACACATAACGAAAACAAAATCAGGCATTGACATCATAACGAAACTCGAGTGCTCCGGCGAGGTGACAGTCTCTCTCTCTCTCACTCACTCACATAACGAAAACAAAATCACGGATTGACATAACAACGAAACTCGATATGGAAAAAAGAATGTACCATATAAATAAGCATTCGAAGCAAGCCGAGCGCTCCGGCGAGGTGACAGTCAGTCCACTGGACAAGGAAGAGGAAAAAGTTGGCCGCCGGACCGTAAGACAGTCTCATCTGAAGACGCGCTCCATCTTTCTCTCTCGGATAATCCAAGGCCCTGAAAAAACAGAGAGCCAAACAAAGCATTTGATCAATAAACATTCCACAATTATTACATCTCTAAACTCAAATAAATGCACAAAATAAATAAAACCCACATCATTAATACATAATTACATAGTAAAAATCAATTTTGATTTTTCATCTTGGTTAGGCCCCAAAAGAAAAAAACCTAGATGATCCTGACAAATTTTTTTTTTTTTTGAAAAAAAAAAATCTACAAAAAATCAGTCTTTATATCGAAACTATGAATTTTTTAAAAAATGGGAAATTTTCTATGAAAAAATTCAAAAGTTCCTAAATTTGGTGGATAATTGAATTGAAGAAGAAGGCGGAGACTTACAGAGTATTGGCGTGCTGAATATCTGCTTCAAGCGCTTTAAGAGAGTCCCTAAACGATTTTCCCATGACTTCGATATTTTCCCACCAACCAAACAGAAAATAAGAAATAACAGTTCAAAAAAACCCCTAAAATCTCAACCTTTTTCTGAATTCAATTATCCCCTGAGCTTCTCGAATCGACGAAACCAGAGAGACAAAAGCTCGGACCTCCACTGCACTGACCGCTCCAAACTCCATTAACAGGCAAGAGGGGCCGGTTTTTAAATTCCTTGTCCACCTAACTAAAATTTAAATTTCCGAAATTATTTGATCCACTGCGGCCAAGACCTTAACGTTTCCTGTTAGTTAGCCATTGGTCGACGGCCACGTGGGTTGGGGGAGAGTTAAATAATCTGTATCGTGAGGTGGAGAGGTTTGATTGGCGGCTTTGAAGACAGGTACAGGAAGGGAAAACCAGGCGGCCCAGCGGGTGCTGGAAAGCACCAGGTTTTGTGAAAACCAAAAAAGGACGATTTGTCCAAGGGTAGTTTGATTATTTCCGGATGGGTATTTAATTATGATTATCTTGATTTCGTTTAATACTACGGTTTGATAGTATTTCTTTTCATTTGAAAATGAGAGATTTTAGGTTCGACTCTTGTGGATAATGAATTTGATATCAAATTAAGTTGCTTATTGTGTGACTTTGCCGAACTCTCTTCTTTTTATAATGTAAAAATTTCGATGTACTAAAAAAAATTATGATTACCTTGATGATTTCACATTAATTATAAATTATGGTTAATCATGGTTTGTGGATAAGGGTACACATTCGTTGACATCAATGTCCGTGGTGGCCCACCTGAAATAAATTAGTAATCCCCTACTGGACAAAACTACAATTAAAAAAATAGAAAAATAATTAAATTCTCCAGCAACTAGCATCTTCCTTTAAAAAATGGGACGTGATTGGTTTAGACTTTTAGTCAACAAAACAAAAAAGTTCCATTGTGTCACCACAACGCTTTTTATATTCATATCCTTACTAATAAGAGATAAAGTAAAAAAGTACATTGTATGTATATTTATAGATGTGACCGGAAAATTATAGATATTGACGTGATTTAATCAATATCGTTTAAATATGAAGAGATTAAAGGAAAGAGAAATTTGAAGGGAAAAGAAACCTACTCCGTTGACATCATTGACTTAAAGTATGAAAATACAACAAATTCTCGGTCTAACTAGAAAATCAGTCATTAGTATTGAAGAATAATTGGAAAGAAATTGTTATTAGTACTTCAAAAATCTTATTTGGAACTCTAAACTTTCTATAATTAGAAAAAAAAATGTATAATGAGATTTTTGAAATTGATAATAATAGTTTCCTAATTGAAATTAACCTGCAATATTTCAGGATTAGATCGAAGCCAAATTAGGTCATTTAGTTAAGGATTAAGACCTTAAATTTTCCAAATGCTAAATCCAAGCAAAGGGAACATCTTTGGTTAACCTTCAACGTTCCAAACGAGAGGCAGAAGGAAATCAAAACACAAAGTCCACACCTACCTCTAATATTTTACTTTTTTAGAATCTTCTCCCGTATTTCGGACTGCTATCCACCACATTATTATTCAATCATTATCTTTGGAAATGCACTGCGTTTTAGTACAGGTTTGATCATGTTTCTGTAGCAGGTAGGGAGCGTTCCTGTCAGATTTGTTGCTATTCATTTTATTTTAGAAATTTTAATAAAATATTTTTGGTATTGTTCATTTTAAACAAAAATAATATTTTTACTCTAAAAAACTATTCATGGTATTATTTATTTACAACACTTTTTTATCTTTTTTATTAAAACTCAAAATTTTCAAATCATTTTCATTAATTTTTTTTTTATTTTTTCTCCTCTTTGGCTCATTGATCTGATAACGTTGCAACGTTCGAGTAAATGTTTGGGCCAAACCTCGCAAAAAGAAGACCAGAGTTTCTACATAGTTTGTCACTCTTCAGCCCTATGTTGTTTGAAGATTGTCTGAGCGGCCTACTTGGAATATTTAGAGATCTCTTTTACAGTGTTACTCGCTAAAAAGATACTAAAAGCATCTCTAAATGAGATATCAAAATCTCATGTAGATTGTTTTTGACAAAAAAAGGGGTTTTCTGGTTCTAAAGGAGATTCAAAATTCTACCTGGATTGACATTTTCCACTTTACTACCAAATTGAAGGTAACATCAATTTTTTTGTTTTATTTTAATGATGGTCCACATGTTTCTTTATTTTTCATCACTTATTGATTAATTTATTAGTAAGTTTTGATCCATTTGATTTTATAAATAACTAAAAAGTATTTTAATTTAACATCTTGATTGTAATAAAAAACTTTATAACTGTAAAAAAAAATTAACATTTTAATTCGACATTTCCTGAGCCATTTAGTATTACGATCTAATGATATTTATCTTCATTTGTAAATGAGAGGTTTGAGGTTCGATTCTTGCCAAAGGCGAATTTGAACCATATTGTTGCTAGCCCATTATGAAGCTTAGCTCACTTCCCCAACCCTTAATATAGAGAATATTATTTATTAAAAATTTTGACATCTCCTTTAAACATGATCTAACATGTGCAATGCACCTTCCTCTCCTCTCTCTCTCTCCTCATGTGACACTCAACAATGCATTGCACATGTGATAAAAAAGTTTTTCTCACTCAAGCATTCACATTTTTTACAAAAAAAAAAAAAAAAATCATTATTAATACAGTAGTAGAACTCAAATCTTCTAAAATATAAATGTAAATTAGTATCTTGAATGGGACTCAATATTTGGGACTCAATACTTAGCCTATGAAGTACGTAAGAGCGGAGAAAAACCCTTGTTCTATAAAAAGATCACTCACCCTCACTTTAAGGGAATGACAAACCCTAAACTTGGTTTACCATAAAGTGCGCCTCAATATTTAGGTCTCACTACTTGGCCCAGGAACATGTAAGTTGTGAGAGAAACCTTTGTTCTATATTAGGGATCATCACCCTCACTTTAGGAGGATGGCAAAACCTAGCTAGCCAATAGAATTACAGAGTATGAATGATTCATTCTATGACCATGATGACACTAATTTACCGTTGGTAAAGCCATAACTAGGAAACAACCAGCTACATAGATTCATAAATATTTGATGCAACTACTGATACAGGGACTGAGACAATTAGATCAAGAAAGAATATTCATTACATGTGCAACCAGCATATGATGCTGATATTTACACAACGCCTCTGCCGCTGCCTCTGCTGAAGGGAAATACAAATTCGTCGCTTATGGATCTCTTCCACCATAACGCCTCTGCCGCTGCTGAAAGGAAACCAAGGCCTCCACAAACTCAGACTTCCCAAAATCAGGCCAAAGTGCCGATGCAAAGAAAAGTTCCGTGTAGGCCAACTGCCACAGCAAGAAGTTACTGACTCTGAGTTCGCCACTTGTTCGTATTAGCAGATCAGGGTAGGGAAACTCGGTACAGTTAGTTTCTAGTTCTTGTTCAACGAGGCTTTCATTGATATCGTCCACTTCAACAACGCCATCTTTTACCTTTTGAGAAATACTTTTGCACGCTTGCACAACATCATATTTTCCGCTGTAGCTCACTCCCACAATTAGTTGGAGCCTAGAGTTGTCTTTCGTTCTCTCCTCCGCATCACTTATCAGTTTTGGTAAAGGGTTAGGGAGCTTTGACGAATCCCCAATGATTGATATTCGAATAACTTCGCTGTCAAAGCAAATAGAAACCAAATCAGATGTTTTAACACAGTGTAACTCAGTACCTCATTGAGATTGAGTACACCTGCCACCCGTTCAATCTAGCAGGTCTCAACTTGCCATAGAGTTTTCAACGAATACATTCTAACGATTAACACCATAACAAGACAATATACGATTAGGTTCACCGGAACCAGTTCAGGTTAGGAGTTTTCGGCCAGTCTACCACGAAAATGTGCAGGTCAAGTTTTTAGTGCAATAAAAATCCCTAGGAAGTAAAACCAGTTTCAAAGCTCACAAAAAATGGGACAAACATTTCAAGTTGCAGCACATCCCAACAAAACCTATGCAGAAATGTGATGAATTCAAACAAATAACGTTGAATTCGAACATAAATGTGCTACCTTGCAAAATTGTCGATTTCGGAGCTAATCATCTTCTCAAACAAATCCAGCAGAAATTCAACCTCCACCTACATTATAACCAAGCCAAATAATTCCATAGTTCCAAAAAGAAACACAAAACCAAAACAACAACAACAAAAAGCACTTTACATCAGAAAGCACTTTTCTTGCTTCTGAGTTTTGAACAACTGACCTTTGGCCGACTCCAATTATCAAAAGAAAACGCGAACACAGTGAGAACCCTAATTCCCCATTTACAGCACAACTCAACGAGCCCTCTCAGCGACTGCGCACCCGCCTCGTGACCCGACCCGGCCGGCAGCCCTCTCCGCCTCTCCCACCTCACGTTGCCGTCCATGATCACGGCCACGTGTCTTGGCATCAACTCTCTCCGTAGGCCCGCCGGCAACGGCTCGTCTTCCGGCGGAAAGTGTACACAAGGGGCAAATCGGTCATTAAATTGCTCTCTGCTCTCTTCCCTGTGAACAACCACATCGGTTGCGGTTGCACAATGAAGAGAGAGAGAATTGGAGAGGCGCGAATGTGATCGGATTCTTCTGGGTGTTTGGTTGCGCGAGAATCTGGGATTGGAGGGAGTGAGAGCGTTCTGGATTGGAACAGGGAATCGGAGGGATTGCATTATCCGGGATAGGTATTTGATTTAGACTGTGAAGTAGTTCTTCTTGTGCTGCTGCTGCCTCGGCTGCGTAGGGCGGCGGCGCTGTTGGTTTTGACAGACGACAGTCGTGCAGAGGAGACCCGTTTAAATTGACCCTAATGTATGACCCGCGCAGCTTCGGACTATCCAAACCTTTTCGCGGGAGAATAATATTTTCGGCGTGGTACACAAAGTTTGGTTTATGAGCGAGTCTTCAATTTTGTAGACTGACATTTTAATTTGAAAAACAGGTTAAAATGATATGAAATACAATTCTAGTTGTGTTCTTCAAAAAAAAAAAAAAGATTCTAGTTGTTGAATTAATGGAAAGAAATATATTAGTGAGATTACATGAGTGTATTATTTGATGGGTCAAATGATGTGTATATGTCATATCAATTAATAAATTTATTTGATTAGATGTTGATTGTATGCATCATTTGTCACAATGATATAGTACACAAAAGTGGTTTAAAATGTGGTCTTCATAGTATTATTCGGAAAAGAAATTAGTTATAAACGACATATAGATTAAAATATTAACAATATAACTATTATATATCGATGATATACTAAGAACTAATTATTTCAGCTCATTCGACTAATTTTTCTTTTAATTTTGTGTAGAAATTTTTTATGCTGCCGTTTCAAGTCATTAAAGCGCACCATTTATGATAGTTGGAGAGGTTCCAAGTTTGTATCTCTTTGTGGATAAAAAAGGGTTTGTTTTACCATTATTGATTCCTAGGCTAGACAATATAACATTATCGAAAACTATTAACACGACGGTGGCTAATGGGAGGCTAAAATATCTCTGTAAGTTTACTCGGTCCCTAAAATAATAAACTGCCTAAGAAAGCCACCAGCTGATCCCCTTTTCAAAAATAAAAAATAAAAAATAAATAGTTATTAAGGCATGAAATCAACTAGTGATAAAAGGCAAGGCCATCTAAGCTAAACATTGTGTAATCAATATGAGTGAAATGAGAACTAGTGAGGGAATACATTAGTTCGTTCATTTGAAAAAAAAATGAATTGGTGACAATATGGGTGGACATTGAATGGGTTGGTGGGTTGAACTTCAATTCGTTGGTCAATTTAATAGGCTCGGGTTAGAATTTTTTCAATCCATTACCACCCAAGAAAATGGACAAACCAACCCACTCAAATCATTCTTAAGCAAGTTGGATTGAGTTTCAAAGCTTGAGCTTAAGTAGTTTCTTTCTTGTTCCTTATGCAAGTGTAAGTGACAAAAAAATAATCAACACTCCCGTCAAATTAGGTCTAAATCATTTAAATTTAGTGTTGTAATTGAGAAGCATATCACCAATCATGTCACAATCGTTGCCCAATGTAATTCAATTACATATTGGTGGCGCATGAAAAATGCTTTAGCACAAATGAATTCTACAACTACTCCTTACATAATACGAACCTACAAAAAAGTTCAAAGAATTAGGTATAATCCTACTTATCATGCCTATATATCTTTCACAATATTTTATTTTCTTTATAATGTGTTTACCAATTAATTAGTTAGAGTTATACAAAACACATGATTATTAACTACACAATTATGCTGCAGCAGGAAGAAGATTAATCGTAACCATACATTTCTCCTCAATATGGTATAATAATAATTATTTTATTTTAAAGTTATGTACTGCAGTACATTTTATTACATTAGTTTGAAATATATCTAAAAGCTGATTTCGTAACAGTTCTACAACCATCACACCTCACTCAAACTGAAAAAAAGTTGAAGAATAGGATTAAGGTATGGTATCACAATTTACTTATTTCATAAACATGATCACAAACTGTTAGCTTGAATTGACAAAATACTTAATTTACGAGAGAAAATGTTGCTATGGGCAAATTGTCTACTTTGAAGGTACTTATGTTATTACTATTACTCTCTACTTATTTTCTCATATTGTTTGTAGATTCACAATGAAAACTTGAAGCATCACGTGGAAACAAATGGGTGGCAACCATAGCGTTGATGTTTAATGAAAACTTTATTTTTGTAATTTGTAAATAGAGGAAATTGTAGTAATGATCTCTTAACTTTAACCAAATTAGAGCAATGACCCCTCAATTAAAAATTCATGATCAATGGTCCTTTAACTCTTCAAAACGTGCAGTTATGGTCCTTCCATCAATTTTGTCATAACTTCTTTCAAAACGAGTCATGGTGGAAGAATCATTGCTCCAATTGGATTAAAGTTGAGGGATCATTTCTCCAACCAATTGGATTAAAGTTGATGAACTATTTCTTCAATTTGATTAAAATTGAGGAATCATTTCTACAATTTTTTTCATTTAATTTCTCATATTTACCCCTTAATTCTGACCTCACGTGTGTAGCTAAAGTCCCCACAAACAAGAAGAATGGCATTGCTAAAGGCGGTGCGTCGGAGAGAGAAAATGCAGCAAAAGTGGAGAAGGTTCTGGATGAAAAGAAGGAAATGGAAAGCACCCACCCATTATTCTTAGCCTAAAAAAAGTTTGCAAAGTAAGCTCCTTTACTTTTTCGAGCTGATAACTATTTCATATTTACATTTTAACAGTTTTTTTCATACTTTCTCTAAATATCTAACACGTAAAAGGAAAACCGGAAACTAAAAACGAAATAGTTAAAAAACATGCATTCTTTTTCATTGTTTCATGATTACATGTTGAATTAGATTGGCTTGTTGATTGATTGATCCTTAAACTGTACCTCGAGGTACATTTTTGTCACTACACTATGCACTAATTGACTAAGTTAGATTGAAAATCAAAGCTACAGATTTTTTTGTTAGTTTGGCTTTTGTTTTGAGAACAAAAACCGAGTGCCAATGCTTCACTAACAAGTAATCTTCACCGGTCTCGCAATAGTGTTCAACTAGTTTGCACATAGTGCCTTCTTCTACAATTTACTAACAAGAAGTGTGCAAAAAAGTTGAGGAGCGACAATGTGTTACACATTGAATTCAATTTAGAGGATAAAACCAAAGCCAAAGGTTACTTTACTTATGAATCAATGCACATCACGTACTTTACTTGGGAGGGTTTCCAATCCATCTAAGTTTGAACCCCATAGTAGCTAGCAATCCATGCGATGAATCACTCAAGCACATCACGTACTTTACTTGGGAGGGTTTCCAATCCATCAAAGTTCGAATTCCATGGTAGCAATCCATGCGACGAATCACTCAAGCCAACCTCAGATTCCTTCTCTGATGAGTTAATAGGCATCATATACGTTACTTGTATGTGATGGGAAGAGAATATATTGACACTATATAAATGGAAGGGAAGAGAGTACTTTTCCACTCATATCAATCATAAATACATAAGATAAAAAATACAAAAAAAATCTTCCTTAGTTTTCTTTTTCTTTTGGTGAAGATCAGATACATCAGAAATATGGCTGAGGCGATCGTTTCTATGGTGCTTGAAGGCTTCAAAAGCCTCCTTGTGAACGAAGCCAAGTCCTTGAGGGGAGTCAGTGATCAGTTTGAGCATGCACAGATCGAACTCTACTTGATGCGGGGCTACCTGAAAGATGCAGATGCAAAACAAGGAGACGATGAATTAGTACGTATTTGGGTTGGTATTATTAGAGATGCTGCTTATGATCTGGAGGATATCATTGAATCCTTTGTCTTGAAAGTGGCTGCTAGGAGGAAAAGAAGTATTAAGCTTGTTCTGAAAAGGTATGCTTGTATCTTGAGTGAAGGAATTAATCGTCACAAGATAGGGTCGGAGATTGAGAACATTGCGACCAAACTTTCTAAGCTGAAATCGAGCTTAGAAGGTTATAGCATAGCAAGGCAAATAGGGGGGAGTTTAAGTGCTACTTCTTTTGAGAGGCAACAAGATTATCGGTTAACTTATTCTCATGTTGTTGAACATCATTTTGTTGAGTTAAAGGAAGAGATTGACCTGTTGGCCGAAAATTTGGTTAAAAAAAATTACCAAATTGTTTCTATTTGGGGGATGGGCGGTTTGGGGAAGACCACCCTTGCAAAACATCTTAATAATCATAAGGATGTTAGGGCTGAATTTGATTGTTTTGCTTGGGTATGTGTAACTCAACAATTTCAAAAGGAAGATGTGTGGAAGAAGATTTTGGTTCAACTTACATCTGATGCCGACAAGGACAAAATTGAAAAAATGGAGACGGATGAAATTGCAGGGGAGCTTTGTGTACTGCAACGAAAGAAGAAATGTTTAGTGGTTCTTGATGACATGTGGACTCGTGATGCATGGAAATCTTTAAGAGCTGGATTTCCAATGAACGAGGGAACAGGAAGTCGAGTACTCATCACCACTCGCAACAAAGAAGTTGTTTCGGAGGCGCATGAAAGTGTTTACTTGCATCAAATTCGGCCCCTGAATGATGCTGAAAGCTGGGAACTATTCAAGAAGATAGTAACGTTTGGAAGAGATAACACAAGTATTTTCTCAACCAACCTCTTCATCTTTACTTTTCGTATTAATCAACCGAGCATTGTTAGATATTACGTTACTCCATTTGGCAGTGCATTGAAACAAAAATCTAGAATTTATGCACAGATATTTTCTTAAACTGCTAATTATATATTGTGTTGTGCATATCATGTCATTCATGGTGAGAAGAAAATTTTCAAACTACTTATAAATGTATTAGCATTAGGTTTTATAATCATAAGGATACAAAGCTAAAACTGTGTTATAATTCTGACTCTCTTCTGGATCTTGCTCTTTGATGTAACACGCAATAGACTAAACTTGGCAAATTAAAGAATACAAGGAAAACACAAGATTTTTTATTGATTTGGCATATTTTTGCCTACGTCTAGTTGTAATTTCTCTTGGTAGAGAAACCATGGCTTCTTTGATTAATAATAAAGTACACAGTACTTTTACAAACCCTATAACTAATCTCTTTCTCCTCTCTTGGCTGTCTCTATTTTTCTGCCTGGTTTTCAGCCTTGCCGCACCATGTTTATAACTATAGGGTGTGGTTTACATGCCTATTTTCTATTAGGTTTCCTATTCTATATGGGATTGGAAAATACATTTTCCTGCCTATTCCAATTCTACTTCTAGGATTCCTAATCTAATTGTATAAGAAAACTTAATTCTTTCTTAACCATTGTGATGTGATATAAACTAACACACAAATTAAACCCTCTTTTTGATAGTTGTAGTATGTGAAAGTAGGAATCGTTCTAGGCAGGGATTAGGAGGGCTGCTAATCTACACAAATTAAACTTTAAATCACTAAACTAGACTCAAAAACAGAAAACTAAACTTAAACTGACTCAAAACAAACTAAACTGACTCAAATAACTCAAAATAAGCACTAAGGGGTGATTTGGACGAAAATATAATTAAATTGACTCAAAACATGAAAGGGGGGGGGGTTTGTTTTGACGAATTTTAACAAAAACTAAGTAGGTTGCAGAAACAAACTAAAGGTTGCACGAAATTGGGTGAATTAAAGGAGTGAAAGTCTAGCTAGAGGGTCCTTCTCCACACATAACACATATGCATACAAATCGATTTCTAGTTATTATTCCTATAAACCATGAATGACAATGCCCCAAATTAATTGTGAACTGTACAAATTAACTCTCAAATTTTTCTAATTTCATTGAATTGGACTCAGCGACGCAATCAAATTATTCTTATCAAGTTCCCTATATGAACTGCATGATATAGATACATATCAAAGATCATTAAGTTCTATGAAAATCATAAGCATTAACAAGGCATTCGTAACTATGAACTGCATGATACTCCTGCCATTGATTCACTTAACACAATCATGACTAGTGACTTCCACTACTTATAAATATAAGTTCATAACTATTAGGTGAAATTTCCTTATATTTTAACATCAGATTCATGCATGCAAACTAAGTATGCATCCTTAATCAACATACAAGAATAAGTTATCAATCAAACAAATAAGTAAATCGCATTCATGTTTTATGGAACAATAACTGGAGGAAATCAATTCATATCACATATATGTTCATGGCATTGAATTCACCTCTAACTAAAACGAAATTAGTTCCACATGTTGCAATTAAACAAAACCAATCTAATTTAAACATTGAACTAAATCTAAGGATAGAAAGAACTCAGAAACGCTCCAGCACTCCAATGGTCTTGGATAACAGGTCACAACACAAAGCTCTTATTCTCCTTCCTTCCTTGCAAAGCTATGGCACAAAGTTATTTTTCTGATTTTCTCTCTAAAGCTCTCTATATCTCCCCCTGAAAATTACGGCACAAAGTGTGTATTTATAGGGTAGGGTTCATGGCACCAATCCTTGGAGGACAAGGATAGGGCACGGCACAATTCTAAGAGAAGAAGGATTAGGTAATTTGCATGATTTTAGGACTTCTAGAATCAGATATGCATTGTAAAACATGATAAGGGCTCCTAAATTCAGATGGGAAGGATTTAGAATAGGATAAGCACTTCTATTGCAGCTGGAGATGAGTTTAGATAGTGTTGGATTAAATAGGATAATGTTTGGATAATATGGGATAAGATAAGATAAGGTTGGATAAGATCTCCTTGTTTTCAGCTGATTTCTTGTCTTCTAAGCCTTAATCTAATTCTTCCAGATTTGTAGCACATTTTTAGCATCATTTAAACACCAAAAACGTCCATCCATTATGCTCCATTCACATGCTATCCAATCCAAGTCCAAAACTGCTCCAAATTGCTCATTTTGGCCATTTATTGTCATCTTCACCAATTGAACCTACAATAATACGAAAATAAACTACATAACTATAATAAATGGAAATTAACTAAGTAAATGCAAAGAAATAAAATAACAAAGTCATATAAATATGCTCCTATCACCTTGTAGGACAAGAATCTGTGCACATTAGCTTTCCTAATACGATCCTAAGCAAAATAGAAATTGACGAACCAATTCCTAACAAACCGAACATTCTTTTTAACTGAAAAGGTGTACGTCTAGGCGTCACTCGATGCATTTCTCCAGTCAGTCAGTTGCACTGTTAGTGTTAATGTAGTGAAGATCGATCAATATTTACTGAAGGGCAGATGGACATTTGTTACTAGCAAGCGTGCATACTTTTGGAATGTCATATTAAGTGTTGTATGTTTTGCAATATATGGCAAATGTAGTGAATTTATTCGGAATTTCTTTTCTTTAACCAGACTCGGAAGACGATAGAAAGAAGGAAAAACTAGGGGAGGAGATGCTGAAACATTGCGCAGGTTCGCCATTGGCTATCGTCGTGCTTGCAGGACTTCTAGCTAGAAAAGAAACAGTTGAAGATTGGAAGACTGTGCAAAAGAATGTTGGCGCATATATAGGGAGAGGCACAGACCTTGAATCACGGTACAAAGGTGAAAATAGTGAAGGTACCTCACGTGTATTGGCATTGAGCTATGAGAGCTTACCATATCATTTAAAACCGTGCTTCCTATATTTGGGTCATTTTCCCGAAGATCGTGAGATACCGATGAAAAGATTGATTCAATTGTGGATTGCAGAAGGTTTTATCTATTCAGCATCTGGAGAATTGTTGGAAGATGTAGCATACAATTGCTTAAACGAGTTGGTCATAAGATGTATGGTTCAAGTTGGACATCGCGGTTCAACCAATAAGATTAAATCTTGTCGCCTCCATGATCTTATGCGAGATTTGTGCTTGTTAAAGGCGAAACATGAGAATTTCGTCCATATTTCAGATTCTTTTGCCAGGGCAACCCCAGTATCACCAAGTGGTAAAGTTCGAAGACATGTCATCTATTTAGACAAAATACGTGACATATTAACTCCCCCAACGGATGCTCAACTTAGGTCTTTGTTATACTTTACGTCAGAATACCGAGGAGTGATTTTGCAAGGAAAACCAATTCGACCAAGGTTCCAGGATTTCAAATTGCTTAGAGTTTTGAGTTTGGAAGAGTTTGAAAGAAAAGTAGAGTTACCGAGCACAATTGGGAATCTAGTGCACTTGAGGTTTTTTAGTCTCAATGGTTGTTTCGTAACACGATTTCCATCATCTATGTCTAAGTTGGTATGTTTGCAAACTCTAGATTTACGTTGTTTGGGCTTTGGCAGGAAAAGGCGTCTCAGAAATCTGCACAATGTGATTCGACATTTGGGACAATTGAGACATTTATATTTACCAGCTATATGGTTCAGAGAGGCAGAGAAGAGAGTCTTGCCATTGGCTACTCTTGGAAATTTGCAGACATTAGTCAATGTTTCGAACTACGATAGTGGTTTGAGTGATCTTACTGGATTGGCCAGTCTTAGGAAAATGTCCATCGTTATAGTAAAACTGAAATATGAGATGAAAATCATTGATTCTGAAAGCATACGATCCAACCATGTTCAGTCTCTGTCTCTGTCTCTGAGATCTTCAACTAAGGTAGAGGTTTTGGTAAGGATTCTACTAAGCTGTCGTAATATATACAAGCTGAAACTTCAAGGGCGAATTGCAGAGTTACCGAAAGACCTGCTGGACTATCCAAACCTGACCAAGATAAAGCTTTACAGAGCTTCTTGCATGGACGAGCACATAAAACTACTAGAGCAGCTGCCGCATTTGAAATTTCTTACGCTTCAGGACGTCACTTTGGAGAATCCAATACTTGTCTTCTCCAAACAAGGCTTTCCTTGTCTCGAATTTCTTTCCATTTCTATGATATCTCAACTAAAGGAGTGGAGGGTGGAACAAGGAGCCATGAATTGCCTCCGTAGATTGCAAGTTATATGGTGTCCACAGTTGAAGGAAGTTCCAGATGGGCTTCGATTTATTGGAAAACTCGAGGAATTGAGCATCAGGATGCCCCGTGAATTCTGTAGTGCACTTCGGAAAGGAGGAAAGGATTTTGACAAGATCAAACATGTTGCTTCTGTTAACTTGGACAGTGAACGATACTGATTAGCAGATGCCTCCATCTCACAAAATAAGGTACAAACTCCGTCAGCTAATATTAATCTGTTAATAATCGAAGATGGCAATGGCATACATCTGTTGCATCAACTTGAATTCTCTAGTGCAGCTAACTAGTTCTCAACTTAAAATTCTACGAACTCATCATTGTTTCTTTCATTGTTTCTTTCTTTGTTTTTAAAGATCCGAGCGAAACAAGAGACCGGATTGGGAGCAGTTCAGTTCTGAGGAATCTACAGCGGATGCTGTGTGAGATTGACTTTGTTCTTCTACCAGTTGTGTATGAAACATCTTTTATTTCTTTGTTGATTTGTTATATTAAACATATAGCTCGTGATGATCAGCTGCTTCTAAGGAAATAGTCGAATAAAAGTTATGGATAATAATGTGAATGATTGTGAGCCTCTTCATCCATTGCCAATCGGTTTTGAATTGATGCTCGCAGTCTAATAGTATTTAATTGTTTATGTTTCACAATATATGTGGTTTAATCTACGTTTGTACATAAATAATTATGCATTCTATGATTGTATATTCTGTATTTTTAAGGGATTTTAACATTTTATATTTCCAGTTTTACTTGTAAATTTAATTTACATATTTTTATATACTCTAAAGTATATAGTATAAATACTCTAAAGAGCTGAAACGACGACGCCGTTACGAGACCCCCTTGCCCGTTGGTATGGAGAGAAAGAAACTCCATTTTGGTGGTACGACCATGACGGAACACGTGGGACCAAACCAAGCGGCCGAAAGCAAAAGAGAATTTTCAGTGTGACCGGCATACAGAGTGGTACATCATATGTCATTATATAAATGGTGGAATATGTGTGTTAAAAAATTATTAACTTAAAAAATAAAATTTATCACCACTTACATAAAAACACGTTTTATACCATCCGTGTTCCTGTCACAATGAAAAATTTCTCCAAAAGTGGGGACACGTCTTCTCCCGCCACACTCAAAAAACTTAAGTTCATATATACCCTTACCTTTGAATTCTAATTCCAGTAATACCCTTCATTCTGTTTCCCCATACAGTACTAGCGCGAAAACATTCGAAAGTAGATAGATCAGTGCCGTTTTTCTGAAGGGTACTTAAGTAAGTTCGTCTCCCGCGAAAACATTCGAAACCAGAAGAATGACGTTCCCGAAGGTCGTCATTGAGAGAGACTCGGACTCCGAGCAGAGCTCACCCGAAGAACAAGAGGAAGAGAAGTGTTGGGGAGCGAAAACGAAGCCAAAGTCGACGAGGTTTTGGATGAGAAGAAGAAAGGGAAAGCGCCCCCCTACTACTAGCCTCAAGAAATTTTGCATAGTAAGCTCCTTTAACATTTGATGACCGTTTCGTTTTAATTTCGGTTTTTTAATAAATTGGGTTTTTGTGTTTTTGAGGTTTTGTTTTGCTTTTTGTTGGAGTCGGTATATTTTACCTGTTTTGTAACGAAAAGCTTTTAATATTGTTTACTTTAATGAAAAATCACATTTTAACATTAAAAAGTCAATTCTGGTACTATTCACTTTACCCTTTATTTTGTTTTTATCGTTAAAACTTAAAGCTTTTAAGTCATTTTCATTAGGTTTTTTTTTTTTTTTTTTCCTATGGTGTAGGGTTGATTCTTGCTTCAATGACACAACTGGGAAGCCAATTTTGATCCATAAGAATGTTAGCAAAGTAGTTGGACTCCACTGCAATCCTGTGCAGCCAGACCTCCTGAGTTGTGGAAATGATCACTTTGTAAGTTTCTGATTATCAAATTTGAAACATTTATGGATTGCTTGGTTGTCTGGAATTCTCTGCATGCCTGTATTGTCTGTTTTCGTCTATATGGTAAAATATCTAAGACTCTGTAGGCTCGTATATGGGACATTCGTCGAATTGAAGCTGGTTCTTCCATATATGACCCTGCACACAGCCGTGTTGTTAACACTGCATATTTTTATCCCATATCTGGCAGCAAAATTCTTAGCACTTCACAGGATAGCCGTATTCGTATATGGGACTCTATATTCGGCAATATGGATACCCCAAGCCGAGAGATTGTACACAGTCATGATTTCAACCGTCATCTTGACTCCTTTCAAAGCTGAATGAGATCCAAATAAGGTAATAGTTTCGATTTAAGTATTTCTCTTTTCATTACTAAGTCCTTTTGTTTCGTCTTTGAAAATCTAAGACGAGTCCCTTGCTGTTATTGGTTGTTACATAAGTGAAAACTATAACAGAGCTGCACTGCATCCCATTGATTTTTCATAGACGTCAGCGCAGGACAACTAATTGCCGAGGTCACGGATCCAAACATCATTACAATCAGTCCAGTGAACAAGCTACATCCGCGTGATGATGTTTTGATCTGGCAGTTCAAGGTTTGGGGTTACACATCCGCCGACTGTACTTCCAGTATGTAAATTATCAACTTGGAATTCCCTACATCATCATATACTGATATGTCTCCTTAACCATGTTACTTGCCCAGGTCGCTCTTCATTTGGCAGCCCGAGGAAAACTGCGAGCCTGTAGAACCGAAGGATGAAGGGAAGATTATTGTGTCGTGTGGACTTACGCAATTATTCCAATTTGCTCCATGAACTTTTAATTTGGTTATGAGCCTTCGTAGTCTTTTAAAACGTTTCACTTGTTCTACAAACGAACATATTTATCACATTTTAAAGTTAATTTCCACCACTTTAGCAGATGAAATTTGACGAAAGTAACAAATCAACAATGACATGAGACAAATTGGCACATTTTAAAAGATTAATGAGAATGGTAAAACAAATAGCAATAAAACCCTAAGTTCATTAGTATGAGAGAAGTTTTCATGAATCGAGAATACATATTGGTACATCGTGTCTCATCGTACAAGTGAAGAGACACTGAAAATATATTCTTTATTTATTTTTATTATGATGACATGTGATGTACTAACTTGTTCCGAACATTACTAACGATTTCCAAGGAAACTATTCTGTTTCTTGCTATAAACACACCCACAATAGTGTGTTTTCAAGAAAGGAATTATACATAATTTGCAGAAAGACGACATTTGTTTTTTTTTGTGAAATATTATGTTTACGAGAACAAAATTATAATATGCTTACGATCAAATAAGAACTCATCCAAGTCATTTATCAAAGGATAATGCTAGGGGTGACCAAAATTTTAAACTAAATTTATAAACCAAATGATGTGTCACCAACAAGAAGTAAGCAAATTAATCAATAGTTAAGTATAATCCAATAATTAACTACCATGTCATTTGATTTGCAAAATTTGATTTTAAAATGTGTCACATCCCGACACGGGCTCCATCACATCTTGGGCTCGACTCTGCCGAAGCACGATATTGTCCGCTTTGAACCCCGACCACGCTCTCACGGTTTTGTTTCTGGGAACTCACAAGCAACTTCCCAATTGGTCAATGGAATTCGAAGGTAGTGAGTTCCCATAAAGCCTTATGCTATATGGAGGTAGGCATGTACATATAAGGCATAGAGGATCCTCTCCCCTAGATAATGTGTGATCTAACAAAATGTGTCTTCCTGCCATTACCCTTTCTAGAAATCACTCAACTAATTTCTCTAATGAGAAATGCTAAGGCCACTAGAAGAAAGTTAATGGAAAGGCTCACAAAAGTTAAAACTGTGAAGTGACATCCAGAGTTCCATTTTTGAAAAAGCTCTTAGCATTTCGCTAATTACAAACCAATTAAGACCGGGTTTAATTTGCATTCCAGAAAAGATACTCTTTCCAACGAACCCCAAACTTAACAAGTGAACACTGCAACTCGAAATTCAAATTCTGTTTGGTTATGTGTTGTAGGAAAGTTTTTGCTCTATATTGTATTCATGTTCCTCACATTCACCTACTTTACCTTCTATGGTATGGCGGCTGTTGGTCTCACATATTCTCAACATCTTGCATTGTCTCCTCTACTTTCTACTCTTTGTGGAATCTCCTCTCGGGTTTTCTTGTCCCAAAGCCAGTAAGTAATATGCTTACAATCGCTACATATCTAGTTCATTATTCAATGTCTCGGCCTTTGTTTCAGAAAAACCAATCATTTTACTCGTTAACTAACCTGTGGTTTTTGTAAAAAATTCATTTCAGCATATGGTAGATTTGGGTTTACTACATCTGTCCAGTGGCATGGACCCTCGTGGTATTATCACCTCGCAACTTGGTGATGTGGAGACCATGATCAAATGACCTACGTTTCAGGGCACCGTGAAAGAGTATTTGGAGGTCAATCTTAGTTATGGCCCTGGGATGGTTGGAGTTTCAGTCGCCGTTCTTGTTTGCTTTTGCATCCTTTACTTCAGTGTCTTTGCATCCTCAGTGAAGTTACTCAACTTTCGGAAAAATGAGCCGAGGGTTCACTTCTCTCAACTTCGTGATCTTCGCGCTTTCAGATTGTTGAAATTACAACGATCCATCATCCATGTCATGAGTAAGAGACTAAGTTCCACTTCAAAGTTTTTGGAAAAATCAAAGCTCAAGTGGCGGAACCTTTGTTTACAATACCATCAACCGGTCAACAAAATAACAATTTTTCCCTTCTCACTACTAGAGCTCATGAGGATAGTTACAATCTATGGAGGGTGTAGAACATTTTATCAGGCTGTAGAACATAGATTATTATCTAACTATACATTCTATTATCGATTAGCTGTCCGATTTGGGACAATTAATGTTGAAGTTTGAGGCTTAATTACTCTTCATCTAGTTTTGGAATACTGATATCCCATCAGACAACATGACTTGATTGCTTGAGATTATGTGTCCACTGTCCTGTTGTAACCTTGTTTTGCAGAAGTATCATCAGAAGGTGACGCTAAAGGACTGACCTCGGATGTTTAGGGATTTTTCTCAAGAGAGATTCGGAAAAGGAAGGTAGTCAAGCACAGGTGAGAGGATAATAGAATGCAAGCTGCCTCCAAGCGAAGACACCATCATAAGGTAACACAATTTCTTTTTCGTGTTGATACCATGTTTATAGCGGTTTTGAACCCCTTTTTGTTTTACGGATAAGCATTTAGGATTTAGGGTTTCTGCTAAAGGGTTGAAATCATATACAGATTGCATGAATTAGCTAGTCAACAATATGAAAAAGATAACATTAAAACCAAATTCATAAAAACAGATACCTAAATCTTAGCATAACTACGGCCATTAGCATCTAAGGTAATGTACTTTTCTCTCAGTTTTGTTCCTCTCTTGGGGAAGGTCAACAGCATAAAAAAATGCAGCAGTAAACACAGATGCTAAGCATGTGAAATCCAGCACGAATATGACGTGTGTTGAATATTAAAACTTAGGAAGTATGTACGTAGAGCTTGTAGTTCAACCGGTTGCCACATTTACCCCCGAGATTATAGGTTCAATTTCCGCTCCCTTCGCAGTTAAAGTGAGGCTGGGGGCAAGATGAGTAAAAATAGGAGGAAACAAAAACACCCTATGTGATCATAAAATAAGGAAAAAGAACTAGGGCAGTCGACAAAAACATGTATAGGAGGAATTTG